ACCTGGCCGCTTCTTGCTCTGACTGAGGGCTGCTGGGAGCAGGGGGCGGGGCTTGTTGCATGTGCCCACCCCCTGGGCTCTTTACTGCTGGAGCTCTGCTCCTGTGCGCTCCTGCAGGAAATGACCCCTGCTTTCCTGACTGTGAATTAAGATCACAGGGAGAGGCCCTCCCGACTGTCTTATCAACCAAAGAAGCTTGTTTGGCAGGTACGTGAGACGCCGCCTTTTCAGTGGCAGCCCCAGGGTTATGGAACAACCTCCCCGGGGAGACACGCCTGGCCCCTCTCCCTTGTGACCCTCAGGAGGCAGCTGAAAATAGTTTTTATTTAGGACTGCATTTGATTAAAATTTATTAGCAGTCCTGAGTAGCAATTTTAAATTTTGAGGGTTTGTTTGTTTTTTAACAGATTTAGGGTAGGTAGCCATTCTGGTCTGAAGCAACAAAACAAAGTTTGAGTCCGGTGGCACCTTTAAGACCGACAGAGTTTACTTCTGGGTATAAGCTTGCATGTGCAGGCACACTTCTTCAGAGTTCAAACTTAGGGTTTTTAAAATGTATTTCTATATATTTTAGTTACGTTGCAAGCCACCTTGAACTCTGAGAAGAGATTGGATTTATACCCCGCCCTTCACTACCCGAAGAAATCTCAGAGCGGCTGACAATCTCCTTTCCCTTCCCCTCCCCACAACAGACACCCTGTGAGGTAAAAGAAGAAGACGTAGATATTGGATTTATACCCTGCCCTTCACTACCCGAAGGAGTCTCAGAGTGGCTTACAAACTCCTTTCCCCTCCCCTCCCCACAACAGGCACCCTGTAAGGTAAAAGAAGACGAAGATGTAGATACTGGATTTATACCCCGCCCTTCACTACCCAAAGGAGTCTCAGAGTGGCTTACAAACTCCTTTCCCCTCCCCTCCCCACAACAGGCACCCTGTGAGGTAAAAGAAGAAGAGAAGAGATTGGATTTATACCCCGCCCTTCACTACCCAAAGGAGTCTCAGAGCGGTTTACAAACGCCCCCCCCCCCTACAACAGAAACCCTGTAATGTAGGTGGGGCTGAGAGAGCTCTCGAGAACTGCTCTTGAGAGAACAGCTCTGAGAGAACTTGTGACTGACCCAAGGTCACACCAGCAGCTGCCTGTGGAGGAGTGGGTAATCAAACCTGGTTCTCCCAGGTTAGAGTCTGCACTCCTAACCACTACACCAAACTGGATGTAAAGGGAAAAAAGGGGTTAATAGATTTTTTAAAGAAATAACCCCATCTTTTCCTTGTTGGCAGACCTTGGGAAAAGCCGGTTTTCCATTTGCGTAAACAGAGCTTTCTCGGATCTGGTGGACTACCACACTAATTCTCATCTGCTGGCAGTCTTGTGAAGAAGAAGAAGAAGAGATTGGATTTATACCCTGCCCTTCACTACCCAAAGGAGTCTCAGAGCGGCTCACAAACTCCTTTCCCTTCCCCCCCCCTCCACAACAGACACCCTGTGAGGTAAAAGAAGAAGAGATTGGATTTATAACCCGTCCTTCACTACCCGAAGGAGTCTGGCTTACAAACTCCTTTCCCTTCCTCTCCCCACCACAGACACCCAGCGAGGTAGGTGGGTCTGAGAGAGCTCTGACAGAACCGGCTCTTTTTCAAGAACAGCTCTTATCAGAACTATGGCTTGCTCAAGGTCATCCAGCCAGGTGTATGTGGAGGAGTGGGGGAATCAAACCCGGTTCTTCCAGATTAGAGTCCGCGCACTTAACCACTACACCAAACTGGCTCTCACGGCACAGCCAGCTCCACCAACCAATAGGAATGCAACTATGATGTTGATCCCAGCATTCCAAGGCCCTTCCCCATGGCTCAGGGCACACCACTCTCACACATCCCCTTTCAACCCCCTCACCTGGCGCAGCTGCTCTTGCAGCTTGTGGATCTCTGCTAGGCTGAGCTCGCTGAAGAGGTCTGCCACAAGGCCAGGCGCAGGACGGCTGCCGTGGGGCGTAGAGGCCATGCTGCCCCCCAGGGCGCTGCCGTTGGCGAAGCCGCTGTCCTGTTCCTCGCCTTCCGCCTGGCTGTGGTTCAGCTCCTCCAGGTTGGCCGGCAAGCTGCTCAGCGAGGCGTGGTGTCCCCGGGAGCAGGCGGCCAGCTCCCGCCGCAGCTCCTGCTTTTGCTCCCGCTCCGCCTGCAGGGTTTCCAGCGCTTCCTGGAGCTGATGCTCCGCCAGGTCCCGCAGGCGCCCCAGTTCCAACAGCTGGTTCCCCGCGAGGGACAGCTCCTCCTCCCGGCAGCTGAGCGCACGTTTGACACTCTCAAACTCCACCTGGGGGCGAGAGGAGCGGTCGGTGCCAGCAGATGTCTCCTTCCAGGTTTGCCACCCCCCTGTATGTAATCTGATATACTGCTAATTTATTTGAAACATTAGCTGCCTTTCTTCAATACGGAGCTCGTGGCAGCTTACAACATAGATACAATGCGTAAAATAAAATACATTTTTAAAATCAGGGGGCTGCCACTGAAAAGGCCCTGTCTCACATGCCCAACCATCAAAGAAGCTTCTGTGGACAGTTAGGAGGGCCTCACACTGTGATCCTATTTCCCTGGTGGGAACTTATGGGAGAAGACAGTCCTTCAGATACCCCAGTCCCAAACCACGTAGGGCTTTAAACATCAGAGCCAACCCTTTGATATCCTGAAGCTAGCTTGCTATTTCCACTCCAACACAGTCTTTTGACCAGCTCCTCTTTGCGCCAGGTTCAACCATGGCACAAGCCCTGCAATGCTCCCTCTAAGCTGTGGAGTCTTGTGAGCAAAAAAATCTACTTTGTGAGCTACTGGCATTAAAGTTGTGAGCGAGCGATTTGGCTGCTGCATGAATTAGCTTGCCCTGGAGCAATGTTCCCTCTAAGCTGAGTTAGTGTGAGTTAGCTCACAGTTTATTAGCCTCCGGCTCACAGATTTTCATTTTAGCTCAGGAAGGAGGGCTCCAGAGCAAACTAATTTATGCAGTAGCCAAATCGCTCGCTCACAACTTTAATGCAAGTCGCTCACAAAGTAGAATTTTTGCTCACAAGACTCCACAGTTTAGAGGGAGCATTGCTCTGGAGCCATCCTCCCTGAGCTCAGACAAAAATATGTGAGCCGGAGGCAAAAAAACTGTGAGCCAGCTCACACTAACTCAGCTTAGAGGGAACACTGAAGCCCTGGCTAGGCACTCTTGGGCCAAGACCTGGCAGCAGCCAAGACATCGGCTATCTTTCAATACTTGAAGAGCCTAGGCCCTGCAGTGCCTAAGAAGCACCTTTTTACCTATACCTTTCCAGGCTGTTCTTTAAGATCGCTCGTGAACTCTTGCCTATCTTAATGTGCCCCGTTCACCAAATATCAGACTAGAACACCGGTCCCCAACGTGGTGCCCGTGGGCGCCACAGCACCTACCAGCACCTTTCCTGGTGTCTACCAAGTGCCTTCAGGAAGTAGATGGGGCCGGGGGGGGGGGGGCTCCTGCCCTGCAAGGATTCTGATCGGCCGTGCAGACTATTTTAAAAAACGTTTTTGTCAGCAGCTGCTGCTACAGCCCAAGCCATCTTCACTGTGGGACTGAAGGTAAACTGGGGCAGCCGTTTTGCAGCAGGCTCCGCCTCCCGCGGCTGTGCCTGCCACACTGGGTCAGAAGAATTCCAAAGGCGCTCACGGGCTCAAAAAGGGTTGGGGACCCTTAGGTCTAGAGCAAGGCCTCCTGTGGGGTGGCCCCCAGCCTTGCGGACCTGGCTCCCGTGGAAGATCTATCCAGCCTAATCCGAGTGCTGAGTCAGGACATTTCTATTTCTGTTAACGGTTTTTCATCAAGATATGATTGGGATTCTTTGAACACTGTAGCTCCGGGGTGTCAAACATAAGGCCCGAGGGCCGGATCAGGCCCGTCCACGGTTCTTATGCGGCCCATGAGCAACCGATGCAAAGGAGGGAGTGCTGGGGGGGAGCCACTCTGTTGTGGCTTCAGCATGGCAGAACATCCTCGTCTACAGTGGTCAAGCGGCGTGGGAGCACCGGCCCGGTGCTGCACTGCAGGCTCTCCAGTCTGCCTGCGTGGGTTTTCCTCTGCACCCCCCCTCCCAGGCCGTGTGGCCTTGCAGGGAAGATACGACAACTTGGAGCTTAGTAGCTACTGTCCTTTATACAGCTTATGGCCGAATCTGCATCTAGCATTTGCTCCTCTGTCTTACCAAACCCACACTGGAACAGAAATTCCCATCTGCATCGCATGCCGCTTTCACTCTGATTGATTGTCAGATTTTATGGCAGCATCCAGACTGCAGGCCGCTTTCACTTCGTCTGATCTCTCGGTTTTATGGTGGCCTCTGCACAGATTGATGGCTGTTCGGGGGTGACTCTGCAGTCAGTACGGCCTTGGCCTGGGGTATTTGAATGTGGTTTTGAGCCGCATCTTTTTCTGTTCCAGTGTGGGTTTGGTAAGACAGCGGAGCAAATTCTAGATGCAGATTCGGCCACTCTATCCCCGGTACCTGGCATTACGTTTTATGGCACACGTGGCCCGGCCCAGCAAAGTGGCATTTATGTCAGATCCGGCCCTCGTAACAAATGAGTTTGACACCTCTCCTGTAGCTGATTTTGGAATATTAGATCTTCCTTTTCTTAGGTTTAACCAGTTTCATGTGATTTTTAAAAAAACCTTGTACATCAAGACAAGATCATAGAACAGCAGTGGGAAAAAAAGCACGTACGGGAGTCTTGCAAGCCCGCTCTCGAGTAGACGTTCCAAGCTCAGGGGGAAAACCCAAGATGCTGTCCCCTCTTCCGCCTAGAAGCCAAGCAAGGGCCAGCAAAGAGACGTGAGCAACTAGAGTTGCAAACTCCAAGCTGGGACGTTCCGGGAGATTTGGGGGTGGAGCAATGTTCCCTCTAAGCTGTGGAGTCTTGTGAGCAAAAATTCTACGTTGTGAGCTACTGGCATTAAAGTTGCGGGAGAGCCATTTGGCTCCTGCATTAATTAGTTTGCTCTGGAGCCATCCTTCCTGAGCGGAGACAAAAATGTGTGAGCTGGAGAATAAAAAATTGTGAGCTAGCTCACTCTAACTCAGCTTAGAAGGAACACTGGTGTGGAGCCTGGATAGGGACCTCAGTGGGGGCATAGAGCAATGAAGTCCACCCCTCCAAAGCAGCTGCTGTTTCCAGAGGAACCGATCGGTCATTTGGAGATCAGTTGTCATTCCAGGAGATCTCCAGGCTCCCCCTGGAAGATGGCAACCCTACGCACAACTGCCAAGCGTTAACCCCTATAGCAGTGGTGGCGAACCTATGGCAAGGGTGCCAGAGGTGGCACTCAGAGCCCTCTCTGTGGGGACACATGCCATCGCCCCAGCCAGGCCCAGACTAGAGATGTGAAGGCCCGGAAAAAAAACGGAAAAATTCGGAAAAAAACCGTTTTCCCCATTTTTTTCCTGAAGCCTTTTTGTTTTTTCCCGAAAAATTGGAAAAATTGAGAAAAGAAAAAAAATTGACTATGGAACGTTTTATTTTAACATGATGAATAAAATATTTTAAGACAAAGTGTTCAAATATTTTCCAAATAATTTCTAATATATATATATATAGTATCAGATTGATCTAATTTCTGTGCACTGACGACAAGCAAGTCCTAGGTTACAAATAGAACTCTCCAACACAAAAACAAGATGCATTTCTTCCTTTAGGAGGTGCGATTGTCAGAAGAAAATAAAAAAGTTTCAGTTTTGTTTTTGCATGTGGGAGGGTATTCTGTTTGTAATAATTGTTTGGATACACTATATTTTTAATAGGCTAGTTGTGATAATTTCATGCCAAGTAAAAATGTGCATACTCATATTTTATGTTCCTAAACAGAATGACTTTCAGTCTAGAAAAGACAGAAGAAATGTTAATGTGGCATTTTTTTCAATTTTTCTGAAAATTTCTGTTTTTCCCAAAAAAACCCAGGAAAAAAACGGTTTTTTTCCCGAGCTTCAAAATTTCTGGAAATTTTACATCTCTAGCCCAGACCGTCATTAACATGTCGAATTCTCTGCCAAATAATTTTAGGTAAATGAAAGCATTTGGGATTGCTTTCCTTACTTTGTTTGGATCATCTTAAGTTAACATATGAGTTGTTTTTTCTAAAGTAAAATCTCAGTATTCAGGTTAAATTGCCGTGTTGGCACTCTGCGATAAATAAGTGGTTTTGGGTCGCAGTTTGGGCACTCGGTCTCTAAAAGGTTCGCTACCACTGCCCTATAGGATTCACACTAGCTTTCAAATCAGGTCGCCAATCACTGAAGGACAGACCCTGTTGCCAGTTTGAGGCCACTGGGGCACAGGCGCTGGCCAATACCTGGCTGCCCTTGAGCACGGAGACCTGCTTCTGCAGGGAGATGTTCTCCTCCTCCAGCTCCGCGCAGTCCTGCAGCTGGTGCAGCTCCCTCGCCTTGGCCTGCTTCAGTTGCTCGCGCAGCCGACTGCGCTCGGAGTCCAAGCATTCCTGGCACGAGGGAGAGAGCGGCAACCGAGTCAGGAATTGCCAGAAGGCAGACCGCGTGAGAGATCTATGTATCATTTATGACTACCAGAGGCCGGCAGGATAAAACGCACGTTAGCAAATACATTTAAGGAAAACCGTTACAAAGCAAAAAAAATAAAAACAGCATATATACTTCATCAAATCAGCACCAAACCATAGTTAGGCTCTAGGAACTGTTCAGAATCCAGCAACTATATCTCTGGTTCCAAGGCCAAAGACTGCTAGAAGGAAGGAGGTATCCCATTTGGTGTCGTGGTTAAGTGCGTGGACTCGAATCTGGGAGAACTGGGTTTGATTCCCCCACTCCTCCACTTGCAGCTGCTGGGTGACCTTGGGCAAGCCATAGTTCTGTCAGAGCTGTTCTTGAAAAAGAGCAGTTTCTGTCAGAGCTCTCTCAGCCCCAGCTGCCTCACAGGGGGTATGTGGAGGGGAAGGAGTTTGTGAGCCGCTCTGAGACTCCTTTGGGTAGTGAAGGGCGGGGTATAAATCCAATCTCTTCTTCTTTTTCCTTCCATCTTCCAGGGTTTTTTTTGGAGGACAGGGCTGAGAAGCATGTTACCAGAGATCACCACAGAAGGGGGAGTGAAGCAGAATACACCCAACTCTTTCAATGTCCCTGTTTGCACGAGGACATATAGGTGCGTGGAGCGGCACACAACCGTATCTCCCTTCCAAAAGTCCAGGCAGAAGCAGTGGGTCAGAGTGAAAGCCTGGCTGCACCGGGGGGATTAGATCACATGAGAGAAAAGAGTATTACCCGCAGGGAAGGGTTCGGCAAACAAGCGATCGCCAGAAATATCCGAGGACCCGACAGCCACGAGGGGATCACATTCCGTTCCCGGGCAACCTTCTCTGACCCCAGCAGTTCTACTCTTTAATTTTCTCAATTTGCAAGCGACTTCCCACACTGTTAACATTTTCATCTCCTCCAGATTTCTCAGTGGGGCTCCGGCTATGCCGAACCTATATTCGCCCTAGCCATGTCATTTTATGGACAGCAGTTTTACTACGAAGCTTCACCAATCGTGGGATGGGTCAGTGTATACACTAGGGGTCCCCCGACACGGTGCCTATGGGTACCCTCCAACACCGTTCCTGGTGGTTTTTAAGTGGGCGGGAACAGGTGGAGCTTTTGCCCAGCAAGGCTTCTGATTGGCCAGTGGAGATCTGATTGACTGTTTTTAAGAAGAAGAGATTGGATTTATACCCCGCCCTTCACTACCCACAGGAGCCTCAGAGTGGCTTACAATCTCCTTTCCCTTCCCCTCCCCACAACAGACACCCTGTGAGGTAGGCAGGCCTGAGAGAGCTTTCCTGAGAACTGCCCTTGAGAGAACAGCTCTGAGAGAACTTGTGGCTGACCCAAGGTCACACCATCAGCTGCATGTGGAGGAGTGGGGAATCAAACCCGGTTCTCCCAGATTAGAGTCCGTGCTCCTAATGTGGCTTCACCAGCAGCCGCCACCACAGGATCTGTGACTGAAGATAAGCTCTGCCTCCTGTGGCGGCTATTTTGTGTGGCCGTTTTGCAGCTGGGCCCACCATACTGTGTCAGAACTCCAAAGGGGCCTGCAGGCCCAAGAAGGTTAGGGACTCCTGGTGTATACCAACATATTCCCTTAAATCACCATCAGGAGACCAGAGTGGTCTAGTTTGGTGTAGTGGTTAAGTGTGCGGACTTAAATCTGGGAGAACTTGAATCTGGAAAGACAGGAGATGACCCTCTGTGCCCTGTCATTAAAATACAGTATAGGCGGCTGAAGGGGAAAATTGGACAGGCAGGAATCCATACCCCGAGACATTTGCGCTCAAGAGCTTCACTTAGAGTTAAGTGCTCTAGAAATAAACGGCTCACGGCTCGCTTTTGGCACACGCGGAAGAGCTAGTCCACATTCCAGGATTAGAAGTCTCCCTGATAATACTTTCGGGCTCCAGCTTTCAGCTTTATTCTTGCACTGGGCGTATGCCCACGGGCACGGAGTTTGGTCCCAGGCATCCAAGCTTTCATTTCAGGCTGGCCCTCCCAGGTATCAAGGTGGCCAGGCTGGTAACAACCAGGGCCAGGGCTTTTTCAGTGGTGGCTCCACTCTGGTGGAACGAGCTCCCGGAAGAGATCAGGACCCTGTGGGACCTTCTACAGTTCTGCAGTGCCTATAAAGCGGAGCTCTTCTGCCAGGCCTTTGGAGCCGCCACCACTGTTAGCAACTGACAACCCACGGTTGGAGAGCCCTGTTCCCCTGGGTCTTCAAATGACTGCCTGAGCTAATCGCCTAGGATGACTTGAGAAGATCAAGGAGCTGACTGCAAGACGAGGAACTAAGTCACTAGCACTTTACTATGTTTATGCTTTTAGAAGGTTACTTGCATTAATTGAGGTTTTATCATTTTTATTTATACGGCTGGAAATTGTATATGGTTCGTATGTAAGCCGCCCAGAGCCGGCCTCGGCGGGGAGGACGGGGTAAGAAACTAATACATCAAATCAAGCCAAATCAAATTATCATTACTATCCAATGTTCCCTCTAAGCTATGGAGTCTTGTGAGCAGAAATTCTACTTTGTGAGCTACGGGCATTAAAGTTGTGAGCGAGCAATTTGGCTCCTGCATGAATTAGTTTGCTCTGGAGCCCTCCTTCCTGAGCGAAGACAAAAATGTGTGAGCCGGAGGCTAAAAAACTGTGAGCCGGCTCACACTAACTCAGCTCAGAGGGAACACTGATTATGACACAAGTGAGAATGTCCTGACTTCGCAGCTGCAGCTAGTGAGTGGTCCGCACGACACCGGTCGGCGGACCACGATGCAGTGCAAACCCCCAGGTTGCCGTCCGGGCCCGGTTACCTTCCTCAGGTCCTGCAGAGCCGCCCCGAGACGCTCGCTCTCCGCCGCCGTGCCCTCCAGCTGGGACCGCAGGTGCTTCACGTCGCCCTGGAGGTCCTCGATGCTCTGGTTCAAGCGGGCCTCCTTGGAGGCCGCCTCTCGGAGAAAGTGCTCTTCCCGGCTCTCCCCGTCGGCCGCGGCCCTTTTGTGGACGCTGTGGGACTCCGTCAAGGCCTGGGGAGCACAGGGACGCACGTGAATGTGGGAATGGAAAACTCCTGTGAGGCATGCCCGGGAATTCAAGTTCTCACCGGGAGATTGGCAAGCAGTGCACAAGGTCTGCTGAGTCTGCATGAGTTTGCTGAGAGAATAAACTTGGCTACAGTGGGCAAGATAGGAGAGTTTCAGCGTAAAGAACATTCTGTTAGGAACATAATGTGATTCTAGTTAGAGGCTTCTTCTAACGGTAACATTTTCACTGTACGGGGCAGGGTGGGAGAAATGTGTGATCTGCTTTAATAAAACGCTGCTGACAGGCAGTTCAAGACAAACAGTTGGGACAGAGAGAGAACTGAGCTTGGTCAGAGAGCTTCAACAGATCTCTGTGTGTTGTGTCGTTATTGAACCCTCAAACCTACACGTGAAGCTGCTTTACACCGAACCAGACCTTGGTCCATCGAGGTCAGCTGACCGGCGGCGACTTCCCAAGATCCCATCTTTCACATCACCTCCTACCAGACCCTTTAACCGGAGATGCCAGGGATTGAACTAGGCACCTTCTGATGCCAAGCGGACCCTCTACTACGAAGCAACGGCCCTTCAGTAGAGAAGAGGCAGGGAGGTTGCAGGAGAACACACCTCAGGCCCGTAGCTACAGTGGGGCTTTTGGAGGCTCGGCCCTCTTTCTGAAAGGGACAGCCCCACAAGCATTTCTCCTGTAAATGCTCCCCCCCCCCAATAATTTTTAAACATTTTTTAAAAGGCATGCGCTCCTTTCAGCAGATTGGGATGCTGCAGTTGACTAATCCCCACACTGAGCAAGGGGGTTGGAGTAGGTGACCTCTAGAACCCCTTCTGACTCTGTGTCAAGACACTGGTCTCCTTTGAGAGAGTTTTGTTGGCTTTCTTGTTGTTAAGTGTTGGCTTTCTTGACTGTAGAAGTCATCACCCCCACCTGCTAGCTTGTTATCAGAAGTGTTGCTCAACTGTATTCTACAGTGGCTGCCAGCTTGCAATTTAGAGATCTATCCTGGTCACAGCTTTCGATTGGCTAAATGGTCAAGAACACCAATGCAGAATAGACAGCTTGAGAAGACGAGAGAGAGAGAGAGAGAGAGACAGACAGACAGACAGAGAGACAGAAAGAGAGAGAGAGACAGACAGAGAGAGAGAGACAGAGAGAGAGAGAGAGACAGAGAGAGAGAGAGAGAGAGAGAGACAGAGAGACAGAGAGAGAGAGAGAGACTGCCTCGAACCTCTCCTCAGCTTCTACCCTGGCCGAACCCAGGTAAGTATTTCCAGTGCCACGTCTACCACCTACCAGAAAAATTATTCTCCCTTCCCCTCCCGCCCTTTTCCAGCCTGCTATCGTCACGCCCTGGGGCTAAGATCTGCAGAAGCCTCAATGCTTTGATTTTAAAAGGCTCGATTCCACAGTAGATGAGTCATAATCCACACGAATCCTGGCTTTTCTTTCTGCGGCTGAGAACTTCAGCCCCACCAGAAAAGAAATTTGCCCCACGAGCCACAAGATCCTGGCTATGGGTCCGACACGGCGCCCAGGCTGGGGCCGAGGGCACGGACAAGGCCTCCGCTCACCTCCTTCATGTGGGCCGCCTCCAAGCGCATCATTTCCAGCTGGCCTTCCAGCTCGCCGCAGTGCTGTCTCAGCTCCCCATTCTCCTCCAGCACGGCCAGCCCGTATTCCGCCGCCTGGACCTTCTCTTGCGTCGCCTTCCGCAGCTCGGCTGTCAGCCGGTCCACCTCGGCTTGCAGCTGCGCCGGATCCTGCGCCATGGGGGCTGCCGGCATGCCGCCCCTGGGGAACAATGTGCGAGAGTCAGCCGGGAGACGTGGGTGAAAGCCGGCTGACCGACACGCGGGCGGCACCTGGTTGGTCCGCAGGCCTATTCTGTGCTTCTGTCGCCCCCATTCAAGCCCTACGGTGGGTGTCCCCAACACGGTGCCCGTGGGCACTCGCCAAGTGTTTTTAGAAACTGGGTGGGGCTTTTGCCCAACAGGGCTTGTGATTGGCCACTGGAGATCTGATTAGAATCATGGGGGTTCA